TATGCTGCGCTATGCTATGCTATGCTATGCTGTGCTATGCTATGATATGCTATGCTATGATATGCTATGCTGAGCTGTGCTGTGCTATGCTATGCTATGCTATGCTATGATGTACTAATGCTGCGCTGCGCTATGCTGCGCTGCGCTAAGCTAAGCTAAGGTAAGTTAAGCTATGCTAAGCTAAGCTAAGCAAAGCCAGGCTAGGCTAAACTGAGCTAAGCTAAGCTAAGCTAAGCCAAGCTAAGCTAAGCTAAGCTAAGATGATACAAGCTAAGCTAAGCTAAGCTAAGCTAGACTAGACTAGGCAAAGCTAAGCTAAGCTAAGCTAAGCTAAGATAGGCTAAGCTAAGCTAAGCTTAAGCTGGGTGAACCCAGGGGGCGCAACTGGGGGAACCGCGGGGCGGATCCTGGGGGAACCGCCAGAGGCGGGGTCCACTGCCCGGCCCTTTAAGCCAACAGGGTACTCCAGATTTCGTAATAGAAGGGAGGGGGTCTGGACCCTCCAAGACAAGCCGTTTCAGACCTCCCCCGTGGGAGAACCCTCCAAAACATCGTCCCCAGACCCCCCCAGGCCCTCCAAGATAGCCTGGAAGAGACCCCCCCCCGAAATGAGACCCCCCTCCCTTTATTACGAAATCTGGAGTAAGAACCCTTCTAGGCAGAGCCTAGGTAGGAAAAAATTGCAAGAGTTTCACGGATTGAGGGCGACTAGTGTTCAAAATGTGGTTCTCGCCTTAGCGCCGCGCACATTCGTTTTTTAATGTGCAATAGCTTCACGGATTGAGGGCGGCTCCTTTTCAAAATAGTGAACTCGCCGTAGCGCCGCGCACACACGGATTCCCATGATCAGCGTACCAGCAATGAGGATCAGAAGGGTGCAGCAGTTACACTGATTCGCGGTGCTGAAGTCCCAAGAATGGCGTTCTGGCACAAGTCAGGACTGTCAAGACGCAACACTCAAGGTTGATCCGCGGCGCTGGGATCCCGAGAACAATGTTTTGGCATGCTTCAGGGTCTTCAAACGGTTGTCTTCCAACGAGGCAGTTCCCTCAATGGAAATGACCTGTTGTAGTGGCCTGTGAAGAGGGAGCTTGGAGGGAGGGTTTATTCCAGCATCGTTGACGACTCTTGGGTTTACACTGGTCCTCCTCCTCCTCCTCATCCTCGTCCCCGTCCTCCTCGTCGTCTTCCTCGTCGTTCTCGTCGCCGCCGCCGTCGTCGTCGCCGCGGTCGTCCTCGTCGTCGCCGCTGTACTCGCCGCCGTCGTCGTCCTCGCCGCTGCCCCTCGTCGCTGCCGTGGCCTTCGGCCCCCTCCCCGCTCAACGGCAGCGGCTGCGCACGCTGGGCGAGAGGCCGCTTCCCGGGAGGGACCTCTCCACGGCACGGGGGCCCGACCACGGAACGAGACCCCCGGGGCGGAAGGCCCGCCCAACGGGGAAGGGGCCGGCCCGGGCGCGGGGCGCAGCGCCTGCAGTTTTCGTATTACTCCGCCTCCTCATCATCGTCGTCGTCGACGTCGTCGTCTTCCTCATGAGCATCAGCATCAGCATCAACATCAGCATCAGCATCCTCATCATCATCATCATCATCATCATCATCAGCAGCAGCAGCAGCAGCATCATCAGCATCATCATCAGCAGCATCAGCATCAGCATCAGCATCATCATCAGCAGCATCATCATCACCAGCAGCATCATCAGCAGCAGCAGCATCACCACCACCACCACCACCACCACCACCACCGTCATCATCATCATCATCATCATCATCATCATCATCATCATCATCATCATCATCATCATCATCATCATCATCATCATCGTCATCATCATGCGGTGCCCTCTGGAACGGCGTCGTTGTTGCACCAGCAACCGAGGCCTCCGTAGTCATATGTCTCATGCCCACGCCGTCTGTAACGACTCCAGATATTATGTCAACAAAAATCCTCTTGCTCAGTCTGCAAGAAGGTATTCTCAAGCCGTCCTGCTGCAATCGATCACCCGGCGTACAGGGCCAAGCGCTGCAGAGACTCCCTTGCTTCACTCAGCCCCCTCGCAGGGAGTGCAGTTGCTCGTCTTGACTTGGCTAATCGCGACAAGGCTCGTGAGATAGGCTGGACTGCTTGCCGGGGTCACGCCTAGCCCAGTAGAGGTCTCGCTGGTGCGCGATCTTGTCTTGACACCTTTTGGATCGTCGCAGCTCATGCTCTACCGTCTGCAGTCAAACATCAGCGTCAGCATCAGCATCAGCATCAGCATGACCAGCATCATCATCATCATCAGCAGCATCATCATCATCAGAAGCACCATCATCGCCAATCATTGTCTTGATCCTCATCATCATCATCATCATCATCATCATCATCAGCATCATCATCAGCAGCATCAGCCTCATCATCACCATAAGCATCAGCATCATCATCATCATCAAACTCATCATCAGCATCATCAGCCTCATTATCATCATCATCATCATCATCATCATCATCATCATCATCATCATCATCATCCTAATCATCATCATAATCAGTATCGTCATCATCATCATCACCATCATCATCATCAGCATCATCATCATCATCATCACCAGCATCATCAGCATCAGCATCAGCATCATCAGCAACATCATCATCACATCAGCAGCATCTTCCTCTTCAGCATCATCAGAATCATCATCAGCATCATCATCAGCAGCAGCATCATCAACATCATCATCACCACCACCACCGTCATCGCCATCATCAGCAGCATCATCATCAGCATCAGCATCATCGTCATCATCATCATCAGCATCAGCATTACTCTTAGCATCATTAGCATCATCAATGCCATCGTCCTCATCATCATCAGGGTAATCATCATCAGCAGCAGCATCATCATCATCATGATCAGCATCATCAGCATCAGCATCATCGTCATCAGCAGCATCAGAATCATCTGCATCAGCATCAGCATCATCATCATGATCAGCTGATCAGCATCAGCATCATCAGCAGCATCAGGAGCATCATCATCAGCATCATCGTCATCATCATTCTTATTGCCATCAGAAGCATCATCATCAGCAAAACCATCATAATCGTCCTCATCATGATCACCATCAACATCATCATCAGCATCATCAGTATCAGCATCATCAGCAGCATCACCATCGTCACAATCATCAGCATCATCAGCATCAACAGCATCATCATAGACATTACCAGCATCGTCATCATAAGCAGCATCAGTATCATCATCAGTGTCATCATCAGCAGCATCAGCATGGACACTACTATCATCGTCACCAGCATCATAATCATCGTCAGCGTCATCAGCATCATCATCATCATCATCATCATCAGCATCAGCATCAGCATCAGCATCATCAGCATCATTATATCAGCAGCATCAGCATCATCAGCGTCAGCAGCATCAGTATCATCATCAGCAGCACCTTCTGCTTCATCATCATCACCATCATCAGGAGCATCATCATCATCAGCAGCATCATCATCAGCATCGTCATTACCCTCATCATCATAATCATCATCACGATCGTCATTGTCCTCATCATCATCATCATCATCATCATCATCATCATCATCATCATCATCGTCATCGTCATCGTCATCGTCATCGTCATCGTCATCGTCATCGTCATCCGTCCTCACCCGTCTGCCCCGTCCTCCCACGTCCTTGCCCGTCCTCCCCCGTGCTTCCCCGTCATCCCCCGTCCTCCCCCGTCCTCCCCAACCCTCCGTCCTGCGTCCTCCTCCTCCTCCTCCCCCGTCCTCCACGTCATCCCCCGTCCTCCCCCGTCCTCCCCAACCCTCCGTCCTGCGTCCTCCTCCTCCTCCTCCCCCGTCCTCCACGTCATCCCCCGTCCTCCCCTTCATCTCGTTGTTCTCTCCAAGCATCATCATCATCATCTCATCATCATCACATCATCACATCATCATCATCATCAGCATCGCATCAGCATCAGCATCATCATCATCATCATCATCATCATCATCATCATCACCATCATCATCATCAGCAGCAGCATCAGCATCAGCATCATCATCAGCATCAGCATCAGCATCAGCATCAGCATCATCATCATCATCATCATCATCATCAAGATCATCATCATCATCATCATCATCATCATCATCGTCGTCATCATCATCAGAATCATCATCAGCATCATCAGCAGCATCAGCATCAGCATCAGCATCAGCATCAGCAGCAGCATCATCATGATCAACAGTATCAGCATCAGCAGCAACAGCATCATCATCAGCAGCAGCAGCATCATCAGCATCAGCAGATGCATCATCATCAGCATCATCAGCAGCATCAGCATTATCATCGTCATCAGAAGCATCATCATCATGATCAGCACAATCATCGTCATCATCATGATCATGAGCATGATCATCATCAGCAGCAGCAGCATCAGCATAATCAGCACAGTCATCATCATCATCATTATCATCATCATCATCATCATAATCATCATCATAATCATCAGCATCATCATCATCATCATCATCATCATCATCATCATCATCATCATCATCATCATCGTGAGCATCATCACCATCGTGGTCGTAATCGTCATTATCATCATCATCATTATCAGCAGCAGCATCAGCATCAGCATCAGCATCATCATCATCATCATCAGCATTGTCATCACCATCAGCGTCAGCATCAACATCATCAGCATCATCATCATCATCATCATCATCATCATCATCATCATCATCATCATCATCATCATTATCATCATCTGTCCTCTCCGTCCTCCCCCATCCTCCCCCGTCCTCCTCCGTCCTCCTCTGTCCTTCGTCCTCCGCCCTCCGTCCTCCTCCTCCTCCTCCTTCTCCTCCTCCCCCTCCGCCTCCTCCGCCTCCTCTGTCCTCCTCCGTCCTCCTCCTCCTCCTCCTCCTCCTCCTCCTCCTCCTCCTCCTCCTCCTCCTCCTCCTCCTCCTCCTCCTCCTCCTCCTCCTCTTCCCGGAGGGGCGGGCGCGCTTGCGTTTCTTGTTCTCGGTGGCGAGGACCTTCCGCAGGCAGCCGGGGGCCGAGGAGTCCTCAAAGTGCCCCTCGAACGCCTGCCGAGGCCGCCGTCCTTGTCATCCTCCCCGTCCTCGCACGGCAGGTTCGTGTCGTGACGATCCCGGCGTTGGTGTCTGACGCCGCGCGGATCGTTCCACCTTACACGGTCGGCGGCCTCTCGTTCGCCAGGTCAGTCCGTACAGGCCGGCTCTGGGCTTAAGTCGGGCGTGTCCCCCTACAGGGGGATTCTCGACGAAAAACAAAAATTATCCCAGTGCGACCCTACCTAGGAAATGGAGCCCCTAGGAAAGCAGCATTAGTAGTAACAGTAAAGCTAAGCTAAAGCTACGCTAAAGCTAAGCTGAAGCTAAGCTAAAGCTAAGCTACAGCTAAGCTAAAGCTAAGCCAAAGCTAAGCTAAAGCTAAGCTAAAGTTAAGCTCAAGCTAAGCTAAAGCTCAGCTAAAGCTAAAATTAAGCTAAATCTAAGGTACATCTAAGGTACAGCTAAGCTAAAGCTAACCTAAAACTAAGCTAAAGCTAAGCTACAGCTAAGTTGAAGCTAAGCTAAAGCTAAGCTAAAGCTAAGATGAAGCTAAGCTGAAGATAAGCTGAAGCTAAGCTAAAGCTGAGCTAAAGCTAAGGTACAGCTAAGCTAATGCTAAGCTAAAGCTAAGTTAAAGCTAAGCTAAAGCTAAGCTAAAGCTAAGGTAGAGCTAAGCTAAAGCTAAAGCTAAAGCTAAAGATAAAGCTAAAGCTAAAGCTCCCAGGGGACTGGGGGAACCGCTCCCAGGGGACTGGGGGAACCGCCCGGGGCGCTTTCCACTGCCCGGCCCCTTTAAGCTAGAGAGTAAGAACCCTTCTAGGCAGAGCCTAGGTAGGGAAATAGTCAAAAAATGCCCCAAGAGGGCCAAAAAGTACTCCAAAAATGGTCCCCAGGCTATTTTTGGACTATTTCTGAAGATTCCCCCTGTAGAGGGACGGGCCCGACTTCACTCTGGGCCACTGGCAGCGCTCAACCTGGAGCGCCCGCGGCGGAGCCGCCGCCGCGCCGTCGACGCGACGTCGTCGCCGAGGAGCTCGCCACCCGGAGCCCGGCCGAGGGGCCGAGCGGGAAGGCGAGCCCTGCTTTCAGTGGCAGAGCAGGAGCGGCGGAGGAAGGCAGGGGGGCGAGGGGGGAGGAGGGAGGGCAGCGCAGGGAGGGGGGAGGAGGAGGGAACACGGGAAAGGAGGGAGGAGAGCAAAGCCCTGCCTCGGTGGCAAAGCAGGAGCGGCGGAGGAAGGCAGGGGGGCGAGGGGGGAGGAGGGAGGGCAGCGCAGGGAGGGGGGAGGAGGAGGGAACACGGGTAAGGAGGGAGGAAGCAAAGCCCTGCTCCAGTGGCAGAGCAGGCGGAGGGAAGGCAAGGCGAGGGGTGGAGGAGGGAGAGAAGCGCAGGGAGGAGGGAGGAGGGAACACGGGAAAGGAGGAAGGAGAGAGGGGGGAGGGAGGGAGGGAGGCCAGTCCTCGAAGAGGCCGTGTCCCAGCAGCGGCTTGCGGAAGACCCGGGACCATTACCCCAACGCCCCGGGGTCCCCGTTGGTGACGGGGGTGGGGACCCACTCGGGTGCCCCCGGGCTTTTTTTTGGAGAGAGGGAGAGAGAGAGAGAGAGAGAGAGGGAGGGAGGGAGCGGAGGAGAAAAACAGAGGGAGGGAGGGAAGAGGGATGCGGGAGGAGGAGGAGGAGGAGGAGGAGGAGGAGGAGGAGGAGGAGGGAAGGGGAGGAGTATTGAAGGGGAGGAGAAGGCGGAGGAGGAGGCGGGAGGAGGCGGGAGGAGGCGGGAGGAGGCGGGGGAGGAGGGCGAGGCCCCGCCGCAACGCTGGGGCCCGCGGCCGTGCCTTGGGGGTGACGCACCCATACGCGTCGAGGTACGGGTCCACGAGGCCGTTGGAGCGCCACACCGCCTTTCGCCGCGGGGATCGGCGGTCGCCTCCCCCTCGCCCGCTGCTTCCTCGGCATCCCTCGCCTCGTCACCGCCACAACCATCACCATGCTCGCCATCGTGCTCATCATCGGCATCATCAGGGGGCCCTTCTGGGTCGTCCTGAGGCCCTCGTGGGCCGCCTGGGAGGGCTCGGGCCGTCTTGGGGGCCCCCTCGGGGTCCTCTCGGGCCCCCTTGGGGACCTCCTGTGGCCCTCTTGAGGCTCTCTTGGGAACCTCTTGGGGCCCTCAGGGGCATCTCCTGGGCCGTCTTGGGGCTCTCTTGGGCCGTCTTGGAGCCCTCTGGGGCCGTCTTGGAGCCCCCCCGGGCCGTATTGGGGCCACACCCCAGCCGCATTGGGGGCATCTTGTGCCGTCTTGAGGCGATATTGGAGGCCTCTTGGGCCGTCGTGGAAACTGTCGGACCGAAGACACGGATTTGCTGAAATTGTATGTGGGCGTCCTTTTGGAGGCGTCGTGCAGCGTCTTGGAGATCTCTTTTTGCAATCTTGAGGCCATATTGCGCCCTCTTTGAGCGCTCCTGGGCCGCCTTTGGGCCCTATTGGGTCTCCATGAGACCGTCTTGGAAGTATCGTGGGCGCTTGTAGGACTGTCTTGGGCCGTCTTAGGGGCCCTCTGAGGCGTTATTGGGGTTGACTTGGGACGTCTAGGGACGAACATTGCATTGCAAAAACTTGGCGATGTGCCCTCCTCAGCACGAGGACGGAAAGCGCATGCACTTTCAGAGCTCAAAAGATCGCTGACTTGCCCCTTTTTCCTCCTCTTCGTTCCCTTCGTCCCCTCCTCCTCCTCCCCCTCCTCCTCCTCCTCCATGTCCCCCTCCTCCTCTTCTGAGTATTCGGATTACCCATAATATTATCAGCACTAGCCTTCTAATTCATGCTAACATGACTATTACTGAAATGGTTCGCCTTCTTCTTCGTACTCATACTAGTAGTATTGTTAGTCATCTTACAAGTATCATTATTAACAGTAGTCTTAGTATAAGTATTTTTATTGGTAATATTAGTAGTAGCAGCAGCAGCAGCAGCAGCAGCAGCAGCAGGAGTAGTAGTAGTAGTAGTAGTAGTAGTAGTCGTAAAAGTAGTAGTAGTAGTAGTAGTAGTAGTAGTAGTAGTAGTAGTAGTAGTAGTAGTAGTAGTAACAGTAGTAGTAGTAACAGTAGTAGTAGTAGTAGTAGTAACAGTAGCAGTAGCAGTAGTAGTAGTAGTAGTAGTAGTAGTCATAGTAGTAGTAGTAGTACTAATTCTACTAGTAGTAGTAGTAGTAGTAGTAGCAGAGCAGTAGTAGTAGTAGTAGTAGTCGTCGTCGTCGTCGTCGTCGTCGTCGTCGTCGTCGTCGTCGTCGTCGTCGTCGTCGTCGTCGTCCATTCGTGCAGACTCGTCGTGTCGTCGTCGTTCGTCGTCGTCGTCGTCGTCGGTCGTCGTCCGTCGTCCGGTCGTCGTCGTCGTCGTCGTCGCCGTCCCGTCTCGTCGTCCGTCGTCGTCGTCGCGTAGTAGTAAGTAGTAGAAGTTATATAGGAAGATACAGATCGTATTAGTAGTACATCGTAGTAGTAGTCGTAGTAGTAGTAGTAGTAAGTAGCACAGCAGCACAGCAGTACATAGTAGTAGTAGTAATTAAGTAAGTACTAGTACTAGTTTAGTCTTTAGTAGTTAGTAGTTAGTATTAGAAGTTAGAGTTTAGTATTTAGCAGTTATTGAGTTTAGCAGTTAGTAGTTAAGGCAGTTAGTAGTTTAGTAAGTAGTAGTAGTAGTAGTAGTAGTATTATTAGTAGTTAGTAATAAAAAGTTAGTAGTAGTATAGTAGTAAGTAGTAGTAGTTAGTAGTTATATATAGTTACGTAGTAGTAGCAATATATAGTAGTATATGTAGTAGAAGTAGTAGTAGTATAATAGTAGCCAGCAGCATCAGTAGTAGTAGTAGTAGTAGTAGTTAGTGTAGTCGTAGTAGTATGTAGTAGTAGTAAGCTAGTAGTAGTAGTAGTAGTAAGTATTAGTAGTAGTATAGTAGTAGTAGTAGAGTCGTCGTAGTTAGTAGTGGTCGTGCATGACAGTATACAGGTATAAGTAGTAGTAGTAGTAGTAGTAGTAGCAGTAGCAGCAGCAGCAGCAGAAGGAGTAGTAGCAGTAGTAGTAGCAGCAGCAGCAGCAGCAGTAGTGGTAGTAGTAGCCTTATTATTATTAGTCTTAACGCTATTAATAGTAGTATTAGTGTTCGTCCTCCTCCTCCTCCCTCCTCCTTCTCCTTCTCCTCCTCAGTATCCCTCCTCCTCCTCCGCCTCCTCCTCCTCCCGCCTCCTCCTCTTCCTCCGCATCCTCCTCATCATAATCCTCTTCCTCCTAATCCTCCTCCTCATCCATCTCATTATCATCATCCTCTGCGTAGTCTTCGCATTCTTCATCTTATTAGTAGTAGCGCTAGCCTTCTTAGTAGTAGCGCTGTTAGTACTAGTATTAGTGTTCATCTGGTTCGTCTTATAAGTATACATCGTCTTGGTATTGTTAGTATTCGCAGTGCACATACTATTAGTACTACTAGTATGACTGGTGTGTGTCTTAGTCTGCTCGTAATATTAATAGTAGAATTACTACTAGCAGTATGTGTGTTACCACTACTATTACTTCTACTACCACCACCACCACCACCCTCACCACCACTACTACCACTACAAAAACTACGGCTACTACTAGTACTACTACTACTACTACTACTACTACTACTACTACGACTACTACTACTACTACTACTACTACTACTACTACTACTACTACTACTACTACTACTACGACTGCCACTGCTACTGCTACTACGACTACGGCTACGACTACGACTACGACTACAACTACGACTACGACTACGATTACTACTACTACTACTTCTACTCCTACTGCTACTACTACTACGACTACTACTACTACTACTACTACTACTACTATTCTACTACTACTACTACTACTACTACTACTACTACGACGACTACTACGACTACTACGACTACTACTACTACTACTACT